CTTTGATGTCTGCACCCACGGAAGGGGGCGTGGTTCCGGGGGTGGGACGCCCACACACAAAAAGGAACAAGAGCAGATGTCGAAGTGAGTAATTTGTTTGTTTGAGTGAAGAGAAGCGCATAGACGCAACAATGGTCATTAATTTCCTTCAGGAAAAAAGGAAGACAGAAACAACAGAGGTAAAGTTAAAAAAAGAAGGGCCAGCCAAGCAGTGGCGCCCTCCAGCCACCTGCACAAAATGAGTAAAGGTCAGCCTAACTTTAAGTGTGGCTTGGTTTGAGCAACGGAAAGAAAGTCCGACATAACAGCAGGGATTTAGTGGACAGAAAGAGCAAGATAAATATAAATATATCGATTAATTGTCTTTTTAAGGCAGAGGGATGGGCAGAAGTAGCGCCTTCCACTTGGTGTCCTCCCATTCCCGTCTGATCAAGCAGTCAAGCCTAAAAACAGCAGGAAAAAATGGTTTCGGATGGGCAACGACCTAGCAGATCATCTCCCCCCTGAAGCAGAGAATCGATGGCCAACCAATCTGGTGAGAGCGTGTCCATGGGAGACCCATGGCGAAATCGAAATCCGGACAGAACTGAGAGGAGTGAAGAGCAAAGGTGATGATCCTGTAAAGGCACGTGAAGCTGCAGAGGATGTGATCAAGGAAGTTGATCGGCTGTCGCAGGTTACCGTAAAGGTGGAGCAGCAGCAGTGGTGATAATGAATGATGAACCACCACGAACAGAAATCATTAAAACTAAAGGTGCATTCCTTACATCATCTTATGACGAGGAATGCCAGGCAATGATGTCTGCTTTCCAATGGATTGCTGACAATTGTCACAGAAGAATCAATGTGTTGATCTTGACTGACAGTCAGTCCCTTTGCAAGGGACTGCTAGGCAACAGCTCAGACATAAATGATTTGCGCTGCAAGTTCAGTGAAACCACAGCCACAATAAAAATCCAATGCCACGTTGGAATTGAAGGAAATGAGGCAGCAGACCAAGCTGCCAATGAAGCCAGAGTGATTGATGAAGACAGACGGCCAACAACATACAGAGGAGACTTTCCAATGATCAAGAGGGAAATCAGAGACCCATCATGCAGAGCTAAGTACCAGCACCTGGAAGATGTGTATTATGGGTACTCCAATAAGCAGGAACAAAGTATCACATGTCGCTGGGACCAGATCGAGCTAGCGAGACTGCGGTCGGACCATCATTGGAGCTTGAGATGGTAGTATAAGAACTTTGTAAATGAAGAGCTCAGCCCACGTTGTCGAAGATGCAGCCATGAAAAGGAGGCTGTCAAACATGTTTGAACGTCCAGGAACAATTATTACTAGTATTATCATTATCATTACTATAATTATCATTATCATTATCATTATTATTATTATTACTCTTATCAAAGCTTAGGGTCTACCAAGCGTGTGTCCTGAGCACACTGCTCTTTGGCAGCAAAACCTGGAGAACTGCCTAGATAGTTTCCATCTCCATTGTCTACGCAGAATCCTGGGCATTAATTGGGAGAACATGGTGACAGAAACAGCTGTCCTTAAAAAGACTGGTTCTTTCAGCTTGCACCTCTTACTCTGCCAGCATCGGCTTCCATGGATCGGCCACGTACATCGCATGAATGATGGATGAATTCCAAAAGACATTCTATACGGCGAACTGGCCGCGGGACATCGTCGCTTAGGACGCCCTGTACTGTGCTACAGACCAGACCATCAATGATTTATTTATAGAGGCACCAGCCATCCATGTCCACATGCTGTTTTAGCCTCAAAGGGGGTGAGCCGTGAGGCCTATCTCTCTTCCGCCTTTGCTTTCTATACAAGATTTTTTAGTGCAACGCCATTTTAATGACTAACAAGCATATAGGGTATTTTGTGGACAAAGTATGTACATACGCACACACATGCGCGCACGTGCACACACACACACACACACACACACACACACACACACACACACACACACACATATATATATATACACCCACTGTGCTACAAAGACGTCTGTAAACACGACCTGAAGACAACAGGCATAGATGCAGACCACTGGGAAGCGTTTGCTGCAGACCGAGGAGTACATGGAAGGGCATTGTATGTCAAGGAGTACACCACGGTGAAATGACAAGACAGGAGCAGGAAATGGACAGAAGAAGCCGCAGAAAAGAGAGGCAGCAAAACCGAGCCCTCAACTCGCCTTCAGCCTTCATCTGCAACAAGTGTGGCAGAGACTGCCTTGCTCGAATCCGTCTTTTGAGCCACTCCAGAAGATGTTCTGGAAAGGAGAGACAAACAGGCGCAGCCAATGTCTCCCGAGACAGAAGGAGCCGAT